ATAAATGAAGATAATAATATGTGTAAAATATACCCCTCCCCCCTATATAATATAACCTAATTAATATGTGTATATAAAATAATAATAATAAAATAATAATTAAATATACTATATTATTTAATCGATTTGATATTTTATGGATTTTAATAATGACACAAAGTTTTATGGAGGCTAGTGGCACCCCTATCCTTTATTAATGACACTCTTACACCTATATAATCATTTCCTTTTTGTATGTATTTTTGTCTTTTTTTTATACTAATTTTTTTTAATTATTTTATTTAATTATAACTAGAAGCGTACTCGCACAATGCAGCGAGATACATCATGATTTTAATATTTCATTTTATTTCTTATCTCAGTCGATGTTATAATATGACTTTATGTGATTTTGAGAAAGCGATGATGTTTTTATTTTTGAATAAAATATAAATTATAACTAGAAGCGTACTCGCACAATGCAGCGAGATACATCATGATTTTAATATTTCATTTTATTTATTATATTTTAATTAATATGAATTATTAATAAATATATATTTATTTTATATATTACTTTTAATTCATTTTCTTTTTTTATATTACCTGTTAATTAATATGAATTATTAATAAATACATATTTTTTTATTCTTTTTTTGTCTTTCGATTTTCTTTATTATACAACAATATAGTGGAATATATATAGACAAATAAAAAAAGTGATAAAAAAGAGAGATATCAATGGTAAAGCCAAAAAATATCAAAAGATCGTGATTCTCCCACTTTCACAATAATACAAGTAAGTTTTTTTGGGTTAAAATAATTTAAATAACTAATTTCTACAAAAATTCGATTATATGATCATACAAAAAAATGTAATGACTTAATCATTCAACATAAAAGAAGTTCAAACGACTTATTCAATAATTTTTTTCAAGAACTTGATAATTAAAAATGGAATAGACTCTTTAGTTTTCTGAATTTTTCATTTCTTTAAATTCAATACAAATGGTTTTCTATAAATATCTCATTCATTAAAATAAATAATTAATCATAAAAATTAACTTTTGAATTATACTATTCTAAGTTAAAAAAAATTACGGTGAAACTTTAATACTAATGCATATATGTAATATTATA